AATTAGAGAGGATGTCTGATTTTGTCAGCGCAGATCCACTCAGATCAATCAAGCACTCTGGCTCAGATTTTCTTGGAAGTGGACACATTTAGTCGAATTCCAACGCGGATACTAGAAAAGAGTTTTCAGCCGACAAATTTTGTCAATCCAGTCTTGCAATTTGAGTTCACGGGCCCCAGAATGGATATAAATGGTACTGTGATCAACACCAACTAAAATTATTTAGATTTTGAATTTGATATGATCAAAACAAAAGGAGGCAGCAATCCAGAGGAAAAACTAGAGGAAGACAAAAGCAAACCGATTAAGACAAAAAGAGCTATTTTCGTCAACAACTTGGCCGAGAGCATATGGCAGAGCATAGAAGTATCTTTGATTGGGACGGTTGTTTCCTCGTTGAATAACCTTCATCCAAACAAAGTTTTAGTTGAAGTTGACCTGGCGAGTGATGCCCAGTTTAAGCAATGCAATTTGGACTGCCACGATTATCGTTCTGAGGATCATCCAACAGCTTTTCAAGATAGCACGGAAGCTTCATTCCGAAGACAATTTGAAAAACCTCAATCTGGTCGAAACTGGCACATTCATTTTTGCCTGAACGACAACGACGCGTTTTTGACTGGTAGTGACCGCTATCTTCTTCCAGGAGCACAAATTTGCCTGCGACTAACGCAATTTTTGGACAATTTTGTGCTGATGAACAGTGGAGCGACTCGCGTTCCCGCTGACTACTCCATTAAAGTTACTAATGCTACCTGCATCGTTCACATATTAGAGCTGAGACATGAAACCCATTAGTATATTGAGCAAGCGCTAACAAAAAACAGCCAAGTACGAAATTCAAGAAAATTTTGCCACCCCGTTTTGAATAAAAAGCGGCACAAGTAAATACTTCAGAGATTATATTTTCAATAGAGCGCCGATAAGCAGATTACAGCTGTCAATGATTCTAGAAGAAAACTTCACCGGTAGATTTAATACAAATCTTTTTAGTTTTAACAAATTTGACTTGACCTTTACCCGAGTAATTTGTGAGGTTGCGGCAATCGGCGGGACGCCCATAGATGTCGGTAAAAGCCATGTAGTGATGTATTCAACGACAATGCGTGCTTTAGGTTTCGAACTGATGCATGAAACCCAGACTTTATCCGTGTTCATTAGTCGAAATTTAAATTATATGTTGGGCGCATTAGTTTGCTCTTGTCCATGACGAGAGAAAGCTTGACAGCTGGAAATAACACAACGCTAAGCCAGATACTAAGCTAGGTGCTTTAGGTCTAGTGGCAATTTGATTACTCTCGAAAATTTCGAAAATCGTTTTTAACCCTTTTTTCACACTAACAAATGATCTACTTTTAAGATACTGAAGTTTACGACCTGAACTCACCCGCGCACGGTTGGGTATCGATCTGAAGTTTGAAAGTGCGACAAAACTTTGTCAGACTCATTTTACTAGGCGAGCGTCGATCTATGTTCTTATTTGATCGCAATGGTGAAGTTGTAAAAAAATTTGTCGGTTTATAATGGCTGATATTATTGAAACATCAAAGTAATGTACTATGCATCCAATTTTTTCTTTTAGATTTTTAGGTTGTTTTTCATCAGACATATTTCAGAAACGACCAAACGATTGTACTGCAATTGTTAATACTGAACGCGCTGGCTCTTTTGGTGAACACTTAATCTTACTGGCTTCAAAGAAACAAGTAGTCGCAATTTATGACATTTTCAATTGACCTGTGCCACCCGAACTATACAACCGACTGAACCGGCAAAACAAAACTGTCAACCAAATTTTAACTCCCTTTGTTTATAAAAGTTCACTATAAAGTTTTTATTGTTTGTATTCTGCTCATTGTTTGTATTCTGATGAAAAAAAATTCAGCGCGTGTAACTGAGGTTTATTGTCAGTAATTTTACACTTTTTGGTCAAAAAACTAAAAAATTTTAAATAAAAATGAACGTTTTTGCTTTCCATTTCCATTATCGAATGGTTAAAAAAACTATCAAACTAACAATTATGTTAACAGTAAAAACAATAACAAACTGACTATGTTTTCTCATTTAAAAGTTTAGAAAAAATATATATATATATAGAATCAAGCAAGCAGGTTTTTCTCAAAGTAAATATCCTTAATTTCCAGAATGTCGAGTTACCCAGAGGCTATGGCTCTTTTGGCCCAGTTAGTGTGGATTTTAATGCAAGGTCAGCTTAGCGTCGATAGACTGGGCGCATTAGTTTGCTCTTGTCCATGACGAGAGAAAGCTTGACAGCTAGAAATAACACAACGCTAAGCCAGATACTAAGCTACGCGCGATATGTTGAGCAGTCATCGCACGATGGGATGCAGTGATAGATGCTGACCCACGAACCGGTAGACGATACTGTTAATAGTTTCACAATTCAAAACACATTTACAACCGTAACATCAGCGGATCAACAAGCACTGTATCAGCCACCTCAGCCAGAATATGATCCGACTGTTATTTCGACCAGCGGTTATTCTGACGAGGAATTCCAAATGTCAAACACTCAGGGGAGAAGGGCTTCGGAAGTAATGTACACGGATAAAGTCTGATCGTTCCTGCAGGCATCAGAAACTTCCATCCATCTGGCGACTCAGCTAGACAGATCAAATAGAGCTGTGGTGATTTTTTTTTGGTAGAAAATAGGAAAAGGGATTTTTATATAGTACACAAGGGTGTATAACGCTATAAAACGAGGCCTCCGTCGAAGAAACTATGGACCAGCAAAAATCAATTCGATCACTTCCTTTTCCCAGCTGGGGCGTCTTGGTGAGGATAGTCTTATGAGAGAGCTCCTTCAGTCAGGGTGGAAATGTCAGGGTGGAAATGTTATGAAATTTTATATCATAACCCTTTTGCTGCAAACTGGACACAGAGCTCCCTGGATAACAACGATTGTTAGAGAGCGAATGGGGAGTGGGGCATGCAATTTTTGGGACGTTCGGCAACGCCAGCTGGTCCAATTTTATCAACTTGTGGAAAGTTTACCTCGGTTGCTGAAGTTCGAAGGGGAAATTACGTATAGCGATTTGCTGATCCGAACGTCCATCATGGAGATGATATGCAAGCAGTACCCCGATCGATGGCGAGAAGGCGGGTCGCGCGATTAAATCATACATGAAACTGCTTACAAGTATAATTGGAGCCACTAATATATCCAAATATTTTTTGGTAAACTCCGTTTGGCAGTACGGATTACTTGGTTGAGTTTGTTAATAGGTTTTTGAAAAGCAATTTATTTTGGAGTCATCTATAGTGAACCATATTTTTTTCATATACAGTTTAGAGTTTGAAAACTTGTTATGAATACCAATTCGCAGTATGAATAGCTAAGTCCGCGCGTGTCTCATTTTTTTTTTCATTTTTTGCTCTTTGCCTTGTGAGGATCGTTCCTCGTGGCCTGCAGAGTTATCACTACTTCTCTGCACCATAGCTTGAATGGTCTGAAAACTGCTTTAAGGATCTGTAAAACGGTATTTATGCTATAATTGTTTTGCTATACTTTAAATGCAACACACTTGATGCAAACAACCGTATTTTGCTCAAGTAATTTCGCAATGAAACATAGAAAAAGGACAACAAAAAAACTAGTACACTATGCACAATATGAGATTCGTGCCTCAGAGTTTTCAAAGTTTTACTTGCTGTGCCAAATGATATTTATCAAATATGAAGTTCAACTACGATTTAGTACTTCCAATACTAAAATATTGTTAAACAGTCGGACGATTGAAAAAAATTCACATTTACTTAATTGACGATTTTCATTATGCATCCATGAGGGGTTATGCATACGGCGTTACACTTTTTGACTTTGCTGACAAGTGAGTTTATTGGCTGCGTTATAAACAGAATAATTACTTCATTCAAGGTTATTATCAAATTTTAAGACAGTTTTCAAAAAAAAGACGGACAAGTTCACAAAAGAATAGACATGCTGATAATAATGCTGTGTATCAACTTTCAACATAACCGGGTAAGCATATTGTTGTGTCGGAAAAAGGTTATATAGCTCTCGGTAGTATTCGTATAGAAGTCAAATTTGGGTTTATAGGCATGAGTATTCTTTTCCAAAAGTTCGGTAATTTTTTTTGAGTTTCCGGAAAATAATCACAGATAGACAGCTTTATTTTGAGGTAGACAAACTTTTAAAGTAATGATCAACGCTTTTGAATGACTTTTGAAAACTTTCTGATTTTTTTGCAGTTCGTTCGTTTCAATAAGAGAGCATCTGCGCCAATTCATACTATTTTTGAGTGTGATTTTTGGGGTTTTGACGCAATAAAAACAAAATATCTTTTCAAGCTCACCATTGAAAAGTCACCATCATACCAGCCGTACCTCTGAGAAACCTTAACTCAGTTTTATCAGAAGTTTTCGTCACTCAAAACTAGTCGAGTTCATCAGTGATCTTCTTCTGGGCTTGGTTTCAATTCATATAAAAATTATTGAGATGATTCATAAAACGTGAATTAACATACATTTCGATTCTCTGTGCGTGCTTTCAGCTCTAAGGAAAAAAGGTTTTATATTAATCAAGACATTTCTTAGTGTTGATATTGGACAAACACCGGCTTGACCATAATATATTTACTAATGATAGTTCCAGTGGAGTTATGAAGAGAACAGTCCCGTTTTCCTTAGCATCAGCTAAAAAGAGAATGAGGTTGTCCCAAAAAAACAGGGCCTGGTGATTAGATCTGAATTAGGGCCCCGAGAAAAGCAAAGTTTTGCGCTTGGACAATGGTATGGAAACTGTGGTGTTTATAAACCAGCTAGAGTACAAACCGGCTACCAAAAAATCTGGTTTTACAATTTTAGTTATGTAGCAATTATGTAACAGTTGTAACAATTATGTCATCCATATAAAATAAGTCCCTTTTCAGTTGGTTTGTATTTGGGCTGGTCCGGTTCAATTACACTCGGAAATTGTATTACTCGTATCTTTCTAAAACAGGGACGACGTTTTTTAGTTTACTGCCGGCGTAGCGGCTTCAGTGACAGGATCACACGAATGGCAGTGGCAAAACACGAAAACCAACGAGGACAGCAAAGGTTATTCCAATGAGGCATCACACGGTTTTGAATTCCAGGGTCCAGCAATCGGACTGATAATGGGCGTAGAAACGAGTTACGATCTACAACAGAGAGGAATGAAGGCTCAATACAAAGTAAAGTGTGTGAATAGATCTAACTCAGATCATGAAGAGATCTTTAAAAAGGATACACTAGGTCTTCTTTATGTTTTCTTTATTCAGTCTTATATATCTTAGGTTTCACTTTGGGGTCAAAATATTTGCAAACTTTCTTTTACGAGAGGGTATGAATACCCTCATTTTATTGTACTGTGGCACCCGAGTTATCACAGAAAAAAAAGAGCCCAATTGGGAGCTCATTTTGTAGTAAATTGATCTCAATCATCCCCTTCCATGGCAAACTGAGGTCCAAAAAAATTGGGTTTATTCAGCCCCTCTGTGGAAAAACGGGAACCAAACATAGCACACTTAAAAAATGTCAAGTAAAATTACCCTGAACGAGTTAAGGTAAAAAAATTAAGGTTATAATTTACCTTGAAAGGACCCTAACTTTACCTTAAAAATTATTAAGGTAAAATTTACATTAATGGAATTAAAGTAAATTACCCTAACTTAACCTTAACTTTAACTGAAAAAGTTAAGACTGATTTTAACTAAACAGGAATAAGGGAAAAGAGGACAAACATTGGATCTCGTAGCCAACCTATAAAAATTTCAATTCAACCTTTTAACGAATAAAGTTTTTCTACAGACAAAAAACTTAACAATCTAAATCAGACTTATTATTTTATCTTAACATTTCGTTAATTTTTTAAAATGAGCTTCTTGATTTATTAAAAAATTTGTTCTCATGGGAGTAAAGTCTTGCCGATAAAAGAAAAAGTTTTAATGCGAACCCTAGGTTATTAAATTGAAATAGTTCGTAAAAAGACCAAAAACGTTAACCTCATCCTTGTGTGGAAAACTGGACATCTAAAATATCACATCAGTAAAAATTTACCTACCCTTGTGTGGAATTTTTTAAACTAATTTCCTTTTCTTCACAATACGTTCAAGGATAAAAATTCAATCTCTTATGAAAAAATTTAAATGAACGTTTTTTTTAAAATCTCAAGTATAGTTTGAATTACAAATATATCCCCTAAAGAGCGAAAACGGGTGCGAGTTTTGCAGGCGGTCGATTTAGATCTCCGGAGCGGATCGTGACTGATGCGGATCGGGCTATTTTGTCTTTTCTGTAATTAAGGGTTTTAATACGAGCCAAAGGTTGGTGTCGCCTTGGAATACCTTCGTCAACGACCCACAATATACCCCCTGTTTTCAAAACAACGTCACTAACGGAGTGCCACTTACTGCGTTTTTTCAGGGCTGGCAATTAATCTAGAAGCCTACGATATCAAGTTGCGTTGGCGTAGCTGTGCACTCGCATCTCTTGCTTTCGATGGTTGAAGTGCTCCTGGAAAAAGAGAGAAGAGAAGCAAGAACCATTTTGGCCTTAAAAAACTGATTTGGAATTAACACATCAAAGTTATCGGGACTTGCACTTGCTGATGTTTACTGGTGTCTTACAACACCGAACGAGACTATCCGTCAACCACCGTGATACGGGGCTGCGGAGGGTTGAATTTCCCTTCAACTGCCTTTTTTCGCAAGGTCTGCCTGTGCCTGTGCGTTCCACGACAGAACAAAATTCAAGAGTTCTTTCTCGGCTCTCACGAAAAAAGTGCCGCCGTTATCGAACCAAATGACTGATGGAGTGCCGCGACGGGCAACGAATCTTTCGATTCCCATTACATGTGAGTTCGTGTCCATTGGTGTGTCAATTTCTCTAAGTGAATTACAGCTCGAAGATAGTCTAAGATCTGTTGCTGATAATGAAAGTGAATTTCCCTTGTAAGCAATTTTACAAGAATATGCCTTCCATTGAAGATTATTGAGTGTTTTGTGTCATATTATTGAGTGGTTTAAAAAAGCGGCGAATTGAACGAAAGGGGCATGTAGGATCAATAAACTGTGCATACTCAGCAATAACACTAGAATTTTTGACGGTTTTGTTGCTGGACAGGAGTAAATTTTCCTTCTCAAATCATTCCTTCTGGCGGTTTTTAACTCAGCCAGATTGGTTATTTTCTTAATTTTTGTGCGATAGTTTCGGTTTTTCGGAATCAGTCTGAGCAGAAAAATAACCACGCGCTGGAGTCTAGAACTGATTTCATCTCATGCAAATAAGATTGGTTGTTTTTGTTTATGCACAACGTTTGCAAAATTAGAGGTCTGCATTAAATGAGGCCTTCCTTGAGGTCACACGCAAGAGCAGTCAAGTTGAACATCTTTTACTGTTCATCTACTTTTTAAGTAACACTTACATTGATATACATTTTTTAAGTAATATCTTTTTTATGTACACCTTTGCTCGGCTTGAAGGGCTATTCGATATTTTCAAAAGATTGGGCCCGTTCACCCAGCTGCTCGTTTTTAAAGACTCCGATGAGATTCCTCTGGTTCCCGTATCAGCAGGTTTGTCCACCTGAGACGTGCAGCCAGTGATGTACGGCGTACTTTCCAGGTACTCTCCAACCCTGTTTATTACGCTTTATACTCATTTTTCCTAGCAATGTCAAACCAGAGTGCCAGGCGAAAAATTTTGTCTTGATTTCAATGAGTAGCTTATCAACGAACTGATGGCAAAAAATGCGCCACTTTTCATTCAGCAATAACCGAGCTCTTACGTTATAGGGACTACGAGACCTAAGGGGTCAGGAACAGAAGATAAAAAACCTACCACTGTTCGCTGTGATATTGACTTCTTAAGTTCACGGTTGAAATCACGGCTTACGGTTGATATGTTCCCATTTCAGACCAAGAACGTGTGAGGACTTATCTGCACAACATTGAATGTTCTTACTTCAATCCTGCTGAGCGCTTTCCTACAAGCCTAACTGATTATTAATTTTAGGTATCCTACTTATGAACTTGGCTGACTTAATGCCACCTATTGCTTAAGTCGTCCATATAAAATTTTGTGGGGACTGCGGTCGTTTCATCAGGAAATATCGCCTGAAAATCCATTGCAGTCCGTTGTATTGCATAATTCATAATTTGCACATAACTTGTAGCATCATCCCTTCAATATCAGCCGGTATGTTCAATTGAGGCCGACCAAAATGGAGGAGAACAAACAAAACTGTTTGCTGTATGTCGGGTTCTTTCAGCAACGATTTGCTTAATGATGAAAACGTGGAACTTAACCGCTTCAATAAGGACACACATCAATTTATCAAATTTTTTTGGGTTCAGCACGGGATGGTGAGAAAGGTAACAACCGCTTATGGTTCGGTTTGAATAAACATGCGGTGGAATGAGCAGAACGTATCCCTTACCCAAAAACTCTTCGACTCTTCGATAGTTTTTGAGTATTCATTCATAAAATTAAGTTCTTTTACAAGACGTTTTTGAGACAAAGACGAATAATAGTTGTCTGACAACATGACAGTGTCCTCTTCCCAGAAGATACTTACAGCGAATCTTCATCCATCATCGACTCTGCTTGAATCAAGAATTTTAGCCGCCCTCTTGTCCGCGGCGGAACGGGAATAGACCTGTTTATAGGATCTCTTTGACTCTATTTTTTACCATCGAGTGCTGTAACCGGCTAGTTCGGTATCGTCTGTTTTGTACATAAAACAAGAGGAAAGGAAATGTAGATGCCGGCATTGGGCCGCTCGAGGCCAATTCTATCCGAAGGCGGACAGCGACGGGCGAAGCGTTTGGATTAGCCTCACTCGTGAAATCTCTAAAGACCTGATTGCTTGAAGAGAGACTTGAACAATAAATAATTCTACATCGCCGTAACCATATACAATTGATTCAATCGGAGCGAGGTACAGGTACTTTTCCTAAAAAGCAGGGATGTTGATGGTATCGGTTACGACTTTAAGCTCATTCTTGATAGTTGCGGTTAATACGAATATGTATTAAAATCTATTGCAGTTCGAAGATACGTTCATCTGGCAACGGTCGTTGTGTTAATACCATTTACTGCGAGATCAAAATCTCTAACAGAATGATTTAGACGATTGACTATTTTAGCCAATATTCAGGATTAAATAGACGACGAGTCACACAAAGTTAAGCAATCATCACTGTGCGTGTCTACTCTAGTCGAAATGCCGACAAAACTGACAGCTTGGAAGCCCACAAATGGTCAAATAAAATCTAATTCGGGCCCTGATAAAGCGAGGACAAACGCTGATAGAACAAGATTTTTCAGCAAGAATTTACGTTCTCTCATGTTTGGTGGTATTTTTGCAAAAGCTTGATATAAGAAAGAAATGTTCTTTTTTAATCTTCATCATAATCAAGAGACATAAAAACGGTCACATGACTAGAAATGGTCATCAAAAAGCTGGTGATGTTCTCAGATTTTTGCAAATTGCGTTGCGTGAAACTTCATAACTTTTGAAGGTGGGCAGTAATCACGTTTTTTGGCTGGCCAAATTTCCCTCCTAAGTTTTCAGGGCTTCTTTAGGCATTCTTTCAGTATATACGAACTCTGCTATAGCTGACTTAACTTTTCCACTAGCTAGCGTTTTTAATTAAGATAACTTCACATCATCGCACAAAGTGGCTGCGTCTAGATTACTGAAAAACTGGCCGAACCATTCTTGCCGTTTTAGCGGGTTGCACTCGTACTGGGCCAGCTTCCAATTGAGATGAGGATCTTTCTTTGAGACTGGCAAACATTGATTTTAAGTCATCTAGTGCCAACGGCTTGTGGCTGAAGAGCTAGATGCAACGAAGACCATGTGTTGCCAGGGTTGGCAATAAAAAGTTTCTGCTGATATCCGTAATGTTTTCACCTGATGCGTAGTGATTGGGACGATGTGATGTGATTGGGATGCATTGTGTGAAGTGATGTTAAGATTTTGGCGTCATGGATAAAAAAACACCAACTGACGGGTTTTGTATTACTAACACCTATTATAGCAATGTTACATTGGGTGACTGCTGACATCCAATGGGACATTAGTGGCAAGTTCGCTTGACTATTAAGGACAGATTGTCAGCTGAATGGATTATTCACAGCCATTGGGTTGCTATACACATTATGTGGTACCAATTTTATCCGCAGACTAAATTTGCAGGTGTCTGGTATTGATAGGTATTGATTGGAGATTGTGGGCAAGTTTTCAACAGCTGGAGCTACGTCATTAATATTTTGTTGACAGGGATATGTTGTATGGAAGTCGAAGGATGTGGTACAGAGAAGTTACAACATACTGGAGTATTAGTAGCTACTATTACAGCTGGATTACAAAGAAAAACGATATAATATTCTTGTAAAGTGCAGCATTCTTTGAAATGGCAATGACTGCGTTTCGTGCTCAGGATCAGCGGATATAGCGTTCGTGATTCCGTTGCTATCGTTACACGAAACGGTTGGTCGAAAGAGGTGACCTTGTTGCTCACAACCAGGAAACTGATTGAGTGACAAAGGACTAGTAGAAGTTCCCGCTATGGACATATTTCTGTTTTGATTGGTACATTTTTCCATATTTATACCTGTGAGAAACTTCGATTAAGGTAGAATTACCTCTGATCGTTTTCGACTCTCTAGTCAACCCAATCGTTTACCCTTTCAGCTTTACGATCACCCGAAGAAGCTAGCTCGAGTTGCCGATTTTTTTCACTCGCTTCGAGATATTTAGTTTCAACCATATTATTTCCGTTCCAAGTCTTTCTAATGCTGTTGCTCTCCGATGATGGCTTTATGTTGTTTCAGTTTTAAGGTGGCCTCATGTTGTTTTTCGGTTTTTCCATTTCTCGCTTCGTCTTCGATAGAGGCCGTTCTTTGCGGCGCTCACTGGGAGTGAATGATTTTTTGAGTTTTGCTCATTGAACCCGGATTTCGCCGATTTTGATGAAGTTGCGGAACGACTACTTTTATTGACAAAAACCTCTGAAGCCGGATTAGATTCTATATATGCGAGAATTTAACCGGCTACTTCATCGTTTACTTCAACTATCCTATCCCACAATCCAGCCAACTCCGGTGATAAACTTCTAGGTTTATCTGCTTTATTAGCTTGTATCACAAGTTCATAGTTCTTATCTAATGCTTTTCGAGAACGGTTTTGCAAGATTCAATTACAGCTTTTGTTTTTCGTTTTCTAAAGGGCCCATCTATACTTTATTTTTTGCGACTGTGGAATATTTTATCAATCGTCGATCTGTCAACTGAGATTGTGCTGTCGTTTCTTATGTATTTGTACTCGCTCACTTTTAATCAATTGCTCAGTTTGTGAGATAAAAACCAATTATAATGAGATTCAAACTTTACTATCAATAAAATATAGTATGACGCAAAATTTGGAAAAGTACTTTACTCAACTCGTAGTTGCTGTGTAGCAGTTTTTTGTTTCTAATAGCTTGCCGCTTGCGTTTTTCTTGTTAAGGGGTATTTTTTTTTGAAATATTTTACATCAATTTCATGTTTTAACGCCTAAGACTCGTAAATTAATAATTTTTTATGATGAGTTTGTTTTTTCGTTACTTCTTTTCTCTTGCCTGTCAGAACAGATGTGAGCATCTTCTGTCGTCCCAGTGCAGTCTTCGGGTAGACCACAGTTGAAGCCTTCTGTCTGCAAGAAACAGCTGCTGTTCGCGTCTGCTCTTGAAAGCATTTGAGGAATAGAACTACTTCAACTTCGATTAAACTGTACTACTTCCGAAATTGTTGCTGCCCGGGTAATGTTGACGTCCGATTGAATAATCGCTTGTGAAAAATTGTCCGGGTCGACGGACCGAGTTATGATTCACTCTCGTATCTTTTAAGACTCTGGCTAAGAATTCTGCTTCAACATCTGTAAATTATCGGCAATTTTAAATAAATTATCATCAAATAAAAGACATCTGAAAAATAAGAAAAACGTTCTCCACAGTCTCGAAAATCTGCAAATTATTTTGATGGCAAATTAACTTTAATCGGACAAACCAGTTAATTCAAGGCCTTTTTCCTATCTTAGAAGATCGAATTTCAGCTTTAAATCTTTCGCGCCATATGACGTCATTGATTAAAGCGCAAACACGGTCTGTTTTATGACAAATTTAGACGTATTTTTTAAAATAGAAGTTTTAAAAATTCAGCGAAAATTTGTTTTTGGAAAAAATTTGCTTGAGCATAGAACTGACGTTGTGAAAAAATAATTATAAACTATTTTCCTAATTTCGTCAATGAATCAGCAGTTTGCGCTAAGAAAAAAAGTTTTTCAATGCCAACATATTTTGTGTAGTATTTATTTAATTTACATTTTTTTTGTCCTAAAAACAAACTAATTCTGAAAAATTGCTCTTATTAATTCTTCATAGTACAAAATTTTATCAAAAGCTTTTTTCAAAAATTCGAATAATGAACTTCTGTGACTAGTATTTTTTTTTGTAATGAGGTCAAACCGAAAGCTCTGCAAAATCACAAAGAAAGTCATTGAGATTAACGCTAGTTTTCTGTTTTCATATAACTTTACGTTACCAAACTGTGCACTGGATAGGCGCACAGTTTAGTTCTGTATGTTCCTGGATTGCAGAGACAAGTCTTTAAACATGTTAAAATTTTGTCGGAACGATCAAAGGAAAGTAAATAACAAAAAAAAAGAACAAAGAGAGCATCCTTGTTGCGGAATCCACTTACAACGCACAAAATGCACAGTTTGGCCTGGTAATGAATAGAATATGCTTAAACATAAACCTTTTTTTGAAAATTTCGAAACGAGAAGAAATTTTGAAATAAGAGATGATAGGATGTTAAAGAAGACCATATTGAATCAAAGTGGACGTGAAAGCTCACAAGGTGGGGCACACTCATTTCGAGAACAAAAAAATCAAGATTGAAAAGAAGATGTGTGATTTGCATGAGTCAGAGTTGCGTCAATGCGTCCGTGGCATCATAATATCTCCACATGAAACGCCTGGCTCTGCGATTGAAAAGATTAACTCCTGCCTCAATATACTTAGGCCAGAAAAATAATTTGTAACTGATATATTATATCATCTGCCCGACAAAACAAAAAGTATGGCTACAGAAGCTGATTTAAGGGAAGGGGCGACAAAACTCAAGACTTCCACCCCCTGCCAACCCAAAGGTTCCTCCTCTGGTACTTTTTCAGTCATCTGTTTTTGGCAGATGGACCCGAAAATCAAGTTTTTCTAAAGGCGCCTTTGGTGCCATTTTATACAAATTTTGAGCGCGCTCAAAATTTTCCAAATGTTGCTTAAAATGCTCTTTTTAGGCCAAATTTTTCAAAAGTTTGCCTACCGAGCAGATATTTTTTAAAATTAGGGTCTTTGTTATGAATTGTGAAATTCGAAAAAGTTTATTCGGTAACCTAAATCAAACATGTGACAGAAAGTTCCGATTTTTTGTTGAAAATACGCCCCTGGCTGGCTCTAACTTTTGAATTGTCAAGAAAATACATGATTGTATTGTAATCATTGAATGTATTCCATGTTGCTATCAATTCATTCGTAATCTGGTGATGTAACGCGCTATTTTGTAATTGGTTGAAAACTGAATTTATGTATCCAGTTTATGCTAAACAAGTATTGCTATTTGCTAGAGTGCTGATTTGAGGTAACCGGGCAAAACGTGGGGTAGATTTCTGAAATAATTTCAGAAATTTTGTCAACTTTTCTTTTGAGGTCGACCAAAATGATTTTATGAGCTCTCCCAAATTACTATAAAGACCCCATTTTGACCAAATTTTGGGAAAAAAACGCTCCCCTCTCAAAATTAGTATAATTTTGCGGCCAAGGCGCCTTTAGAAAAATTTTAGGTTCAATCAGCCAAAAATGGGTAACTCACAATAGTACAAAGGGAGGACCCTTTGGTCGGCTGTGGGTCGAATCCCTAAGGAGGAAAGGGAAGGCGTCCGCCCCGGCCCCCATCCCAAAATCGCTGGTGCTACAAAAATTACCATTTTTTGGTTTGAAAAATTAATTTTAAAGCGTTTGCTCAAAAAAATTGAGGTATTAGCATCTTAAAATTTGTTTGGCTAAATTAGAGGCCTGTATAGTTCTGTAAGCATTTGAACCGGCAGATCTGACTTAATTTACAATCGACTGAAAAACGAAAAAAAATCCGTTTGGCTGTAGAAAAATTGAAACCAGCTTTTTTGCAAAACAAGTTGCATCATAATAGTTCTGTTTTATTCTAAACAGATTTTTTCTCAATTTTTTGTCTAAATTCAATAACGTATGTTTGAGAAAAAAATTAAAGATTTTTTTTTCGTTTCGTCCGGATAGTTAAAATCAACGCTTTGTACTGTACTTTCATTCGTATTAACGGATTAGGACTAATTATTTGAAATCAATTATTTTGAAATCAAGTATTAACAATAAGGATTAATTATTTTTATTATTTGTAAAACGAAATCGGCTTTTCTCGCCATTTCGAACGATTTGTTAAAAACTGATTTTCATGCAGATTATTCAGAAAAAAACTCCATGCAATTATTCAGACAAGTGCTTGAGTATTACTTTATAAAATATTAATTAAGCAGTTCTTCGGTCCATGCATAAAACGCATTTCGGTCCATGCATAAGACTTCGGTTTCTAAAAAGCATTTTGTATACAAAAGTTATTAGTACATTGTATCGCTTTGGAATTTATATCTGAGTAGAATAGATTGTTTCGAAATAGGTTTTCAAAAAAGATCTTACGGGTTAAGGCCTGCAACTTTTCTGAAACGTTTTAAAGGTGCACCAAAGGAAAAGTCTCGATCCTGAAATAAGGTTTTAAAAACTCAAAAATGTGGTGTATTGCATAGTTATTGTGGATGTCTGAAAGTTAGTAGCAATAACAATATGGTCAAAGCTTCAATTCTGGAATATGAAGGTAATAATTCTACCGAACTGATCCAGAACAACAGTCAAATGCCCAGCTCTTATTTGATTTCTTAAACTGGCTTAAAGAAGACTTGTACCGAGCTAGTTCTCTAATGGCTATATAAGTTGAAATATGAGACAAGATGAGGGGTCAGTAAACTAGTGGGACTGACTTTAAACCTTGGGGTCGTTGAAAATCAATCCCCACCCCTGCAAAAAATAATACATCTGCCCCTGTTCACCTTGTTTAGGTTTTCATTGGTTTTATAATGGCTCATAAAAATGTAAAATATGTTCCAAAAAGTTACACTAGTATAATAAGACTAAGCGATAGAATCAATTTTTCAACAATTAGTTCTCGGAAGGCTCAACACTCAAAATATTTCACTGATTTAAATTTAGATTAGATCGTTTTTATCTCAAAAATCGACGTTGACTGCGCTCAAAAAAATTGGTTTCGGCTCCTTATGAAATTGATTAGAGTCTTTTACCTACATATACTTTTTGAAATAAGAAATGGAGGTTCAAAAACGACAAAAAAATTTAAGAACCATTCAAGCAACTCATGTTCTCCAAGGTAGGGCGACAATTCGTAACTGCCGACAATTCGTAACTGGCGACAATTCGTAACTGCCGACAATTCGTAACTGGCGACAATTCGTAACTGGCGACAATTCGTAACTGCCGACAATTCGTAACTGGCGACAATTCGTAACTGCCGACAATTCGTAACTGGCGACAATTCGTAACTGCCGACAATTCGTAACTGGCGACAATTCGTAACTGGCGACAATTCGTAACTGCCGACAATTCGTAACTGGCGACAATTCGTAACTGCCGACAATTCGTAACTGGCGACAATTCGTAACTGCCGACAATTCGTAACTGGCGACAATTCGTAACTGCCGACAATTCGTAACTGGCGACAATTCGTAACTGCCGACAATTCGTAACTGGCGACAATTCGTAACTGGCGACAATTCGTAACTGCCGACAATTCGTAACTGGCGACAATTCGTAACTGCCGACAATTCGTAACTGGCGACAATTCGTAACTGCCGACAATTCGTAACTGGCGACAATTCGTAACTGCCGACAATTCGTAACTGGCGACAATTCGTAACTGCCGACAATTCGTAACTGGCGACAATTCGTAACTGGCGACAATTCGTAACTGCCGACAATTCGTAACTGGCGACAATTCGTAACTGCCGACAATTCGTAACTGCCGACAATTCGTAACTGGCGGTAATTCGTAACTGGCGACAATTCGTAACTGGCGACAATTCGTAACTGCCGACAATTCGTAACTGCCGACAATTCGAAACTGGCGACAATTCGTAACTGCCGACAATTCGTAACTGCCGACAATTCGTAACTGGCGACAATTCGTAACTGGCGACAATTCGTAACTGCCGACAATTCGTAACTGGCGACAATTCGTAACTGCCGACAATTCGTAACTGGCGACAATTCGTAACAAGCGACATTTCGTAACTGGCGGCAATTCGTAACAAGCGACAATTCGTAACAATGCAATTACCCTTAACTTTGAATTTAGAAGACAAATTGTTTCAGCAAGTGAGACGATTAAAGTCACTCATTTTTTCTACAAAAAAGCCCTGAAGTTGCCCTTTTTATCCCCCTTTTTTTGCTTTTTGCTAATGAGAGACGTCCTTTCATGGTTACCTCCCCCCTCGATATTTACGACAATTGTTTTTTTTTAATACTGACGGGCGTGGGGTTATCCTTGAAGGGACTTGTCTCGCTTAATTAAAGCATCAGAAATTATCCCAAAATTATCAAAAAAACAATTATGCGCAACCCAATGACCAACTGAAAAATCGTTTTTCGTCATGTTTTAGAATGTAAAGAAAACCAGGCGATAACCATATTTATTCCACAAACCATGTTTTCTATAGCACAAATTTTTATAGTTTTTTATAACTTCAAACCACCTACTATGTTTTTTTAAGCTTGTAACTCGATTTAAAACTAAACAGCAGCCAAAGCAGCTGCAAGCTTAACAAAATTTTAGATGAGCATGTTTTTCGCCTCTTGCATTATTCACAGTCTACGAATTGAAGTGAAGCGGTCTCTTTATATCAAAGATTAGCTCTAAAAAAAGACCGATGCCGAAGAGTTTATAAAAGTGATAGACGTGTGCGGGATTATACCATTGGACCAAATAGGTACATAATCACCTATGTATCGCCCGGGTATTTTCTGGCAAGACAGCATGCGTTTACACTTGAAGTATGTTGTCAAAAAAAAGGTAAATAAAAGGGCAGTTCGGTTGGTTGAAAGTAAAAAATAGTTAAGTATACTGACTGGTTGGAGTAAAAAAACAGTAAAAAAGAACATAAATAAGGTCAACTTATCTGCCAGCTTTTAACCTTTCTGGTGAATGAGTTTTTTTGGACACCGTGCCAAGGTAATTATGGTGAACGACACCTTAGGGGGCATCCGAAGACTCGGGTGGAAGCCACGACGAGGTTGTGGCGTATTCGGAAGCAGATAAAGAGGTGGTGGAAGTGTGCGCCAGACCTGAACTTCAACCTTCACTTATTTAGATCAAATTTGTTTGGGTCATTTGAGTAACTAACCGTGTTCTAATCCATTGAGTACAAGTTAGAACTTTTTGTAGTAAATTTAACTGGTAATTGTACTCAAACGCGTTTCCACTCTATGTTATCCAGCGTTGTCTGCTGCTTCATTTATTTAGCCAGTTGAGCGGAATCGATTAGAGTGAATAAGGCGTCGCATATTCAGCCATTTAGTCTACTGGTTAGGTGACGGGCCCAGTGAAAAGAGGGTAGATGGTTCGAATTTTGCTCTAGCCACGAATATTGTTCTTTTTTTTGCATTAAAAAATATATCCTTTAGAAGTAAAAGCTAGTGTGGGGAGTACTATAGTTCTATACTTTTTAATATTATCAATAAGTTATGTGTTTAGTTAAACTTCAATTAAGGTGTGTCATTTCTGTACTAACTTCGAATTTTGAATTTTATTCTCTTTCAAACGTTCAAGTCGGCATCCTAATTTAGGAAATTAAATGTTTTCAAAATGTCTCAAATCGGTTTCCTTTCAAATATGTTTTTGATCATTGGATTCCGCATAATTATATTGTCGACAAGATAAGTTTTGCTGATCGATTAACTAATTAAGTGAGACAAGTCCCTTCAAGTAACAATCCCTCCTCATCATTTTAAGCAATTGTTTTAAATGCTGAGGAGGGGTAGATAAAATAGAAGGTGGTTCTGAGCCAGGGGGAGGTTTTTAGAATGAAAAGAGGACTTAAGGGAAATTGAGAGATTATAAAATTGTTTCA